TTTTAACAGTTTTATCCCAGTATAATACAATAATCTGAATATAGTGACAGTGTACAATTTGGTCCATTTTGACATAAGTATCACCCATGAAAACATGATTACGATCAAAATAATGAAGACATCGATTGTCCTGAAAAGTTTTTAAATGCCTCTTTGTGCTCCTTCATACCTACTCTTCTGACATATATTCTGTTAGAATAAAGGAGTTTGCATTTTCTAAAATTTTATATAAATTAAATATATGCTTTTTTTTGGGTCTAGCTTCCTTCTCTTGGCAATGTTTTTAGTTATTTTGAGACTCATTCATGCAAGCAACATTCCTTTCCATTGCTAGCTAGAATTCCACTGTGTGGATTTGCCACAACTTGGTTATTCATTCACTTCTTGATGAGCATTTCAATTATTTCCTGTTTGGGACTATTACACACAACGGTGCTATAAATATTTGTGTATAAGTCTTTATATGGACACTTGCCTAATTCTTCTGGGACAAATGTCTTGATGTAGAATAGTTGGGTATTACAGTAGCTGAGTCTTTATACTTTTGAGGAACTGCCAACTTTTAAAGTAGATGTATCATATTGTATACAGCATGCACCAGAGTTTGGTTATTATATATTCTTACCAACACTTGATATAATCAGTTCATTAAATGTCAATTATTTTAGTAAGAATACTCCTATTTTAATTTGAATTTCCCTAGTGAATAATGACTTAATTCATCATATTTTCATGTGTTTATTTGCCATCCATGTATCTTGTTTGGTGAAGTGTATGTTCAAGTTGTTTTACACGTATTTATTGAATGTCTAGTTTTTTTTTCTTCATCTTGAAATTTCTCTGTATACTTCACATGGTCTTTTGTCAGAGAAATGCTTTGCAAATATTTTCTTTCAACTTGTGGCTTTTTTTTTTACTCATTTAATAGTGCCTTTCATAAGGCAAAGAGATATTCTTAATTTTGATGAAGCCTAATTTACCCTTTTTTTTTGTTTGTTTACAGAATGTGTTTATGGTGTATAGCTAAAGAATCTTCGTCTAATATGAGATCACAAAGATTTTCTTCTTTGTTTCCTTTTAGAAATTTTTGTAGATGCAAGTTTCACATTTAGAACTATGATCCATTCTGAGTAACTTTTTAAATATGATGTGAGGTACAGATTATTACTATTTTTTATATGCATATCTTATTATTTGAATGGTTGAAAAGACTATTCTACTTTTCTGCTGAATTATCTCTATACCTTTGTTGAAAATCAGTATGCAAGCATCTTTTTTCTTCTACATGTCTATCTGGATACCAATACTGTCTTGAATTTGGTAGTGCTATATATAGATAGATAGATAGATAGATATGTATTATATATGTGTGTGTATGTATGTATATCCATATACCTGTACACATACCTGTATTTATATAAAATCTCCACTTTGTCTTTTTTTCCAAAGATGATTATCTAGGTTTTGGCATCCGACAAGTAAATTTTAGAATGTGGGCCAGGCCAATTTATATTTTCCCCACTTACCCCAATGTGCTACTTTCTACCAAAAATCTTGTTGAGATTTTAATTGGAATTATGTTAAATATATAAATCAATTTAGGGATAAACAATATTTAGCTTCCAGACCTATGAACATAAAACATGCTCACTGCAGAGAAAAATGAGGGTAACTGAAAAGTAACAAAGTGGGGTCTCACTGGCCGTGCAAAGGGTTTCAGCAGCCACTGCAGCATGAGCTGGATCCCAACCAGGGAGCTGACTCCCGTGGTGCAGCAGACCTCTCCTGTCTCTCCCTGCTCCCCTAAGCAGTGTATTTGAGTCAACACACCTGTTCTGTTCCCCACTCTTTCTGTGATGAATCCTCTCAAGCCCGGCACCTCTGGCCTACAACCCCACTTTTGTATGCATAAATAAAGTAAATCTTAAAATTTTTTAAAATAGGGGGGCTGGAAATTTTTTTAAAAAATAACAACGTGCATTTTAAAACACTATGTGCAATTGCAGTTTGACAACTATCCTTCTGATACATAGTTCTCGATATAGATATGCATGTAATTGAAGGCAAGTGAGATCTTCCCATACAGGTTATTTTGTAATTTAACTTTATTTTACTCAACATTATGTCTTCAGAGTCTTCTATCATGGCAATGATAGACCTACACCCTGTTTAATGGCTTCTTAGTGCTCTGTAATTCAATATCATTTTCTTATGGGTATGTTTCTTTTTTGTAACATTTCAGTTCACTGACATTACCTTTTATTGAACTATTGATAAATGCTGAATGAAAACATGTCTGTCTAGGCTGGCTGGAGACTCTGAGGAGGAGTGGCTCCTGGAAGAAATGGAACCTGCGGCTGAATCTCTGATTTTGTCTGGGAAAAACATGACTCTGGTAGTGCAAAAGCTCCATCTTCAGCCAGAATGTCAGAGTCACCAGGAGGAGCTAGTGAGCACAGCACAGCAGGTCCTGGTGGCCACCACCAAGGTGCGGCTGATGTCAGAGCTGGTGGGCTGGCTGGTCAGGACAGAGACTCACTGCTGGGAAAAATGGGTGGGGCACATCATTCCTGCAGTGGATGCCTGGCCAGAGAAACCTGCGCAAGCTTCTGCTAAGATCACAGACACAACTTCATTGTATTCAGTAACCATGACACATGGCAGCTGCCAGGAGGCCCATGACACACTGTGTTAGGGTCTATGATCCTAAAACCATATGTGTCCACCTCCTCCCCCACACTTGACTGCTAACGCCGAATAAAAAAAGATATCACTGAGAGTTTCATCTTCCCCCTTGAAGGTAGCTACTCTACCATCATCATGGAGGCCTCTGAAATACAGTCTATTGGGCAGACTTGACTGGAGAATGGTAGCTCTGTTGCACCTGCCTACTTTTACAAGAGTCTCAGGGGGCCAGGATAACCCCAAATAGTCTCCAAATAGTCCCTTTTCTCCAACTTGGCTTTTCATCAGCCTTTTGGGTTAGGTCATCGCTCAGTGTTAGACTCTATGTGGCTTAAATATTAACAAATATTATTAAAGTTTATCACTAAAACTTTAGTCAAGTATGTCTTTATTAAGTAAGTAAGATTAGAAATGGAGAGATACAAGAGGCAAACCCAGAGGGCTTGGCCACCTGCTGATGGGAGATGGGAGGAGGAGATGAAGACAGGTGACAGGTCTGCTGGAGAGGATGCAGAGACATCCTGCGCAGCAGTCAGGCCAGGGAAGATTTCTCAGAGGCCTTGGGCTGGCCATCTCACTTATCCCCACCATCCACATCCTTCCTAGGATCTTACTAATCACCTTCCTTATGTAGGGGTTACCACATGGATAATTCATTGCTCCCCTAACCTGAGCCCAGGTTCCCCCTCCTCGCCTAAATGTATTTCAAATTAAAAGGGTCCAGCAATCTTAATGAAACCAACTGTTTTCTTTAAATGTCACTACTAAGTGTCTATAGGACACTGGGTAGTGTTTATAGGACACAGTGTCTGTAGGACATTGAGTAGGTTTGGTTGGGGGGGGGGCGGGGCTCCTGGTTAAACTCGGGAAGGGAAGCAGCTGCTATTGTGCTTGCTATGGCCCCAGAAACTGCAAGTATCTTCACGCCTGTCTCTTTTTGACTATTCAAACAGGTCCTGCTCCTGGAAGACGCAGCGATGGTGACGAAGACCGTGCGGACTGTGGGTGGGTGCCTGACCTGCCTGGACGCTCTAGAGGAGGCCAGCGACTCTGCCTCATGGCGCGGCCTCTTCGCAGACCTGACCGCCACGCTGCTGCGCCTGGGAGGCCTCACTGCAGGCGCGCGGGGGGAGCGCCTGGGCCGCGCTCGCCGCCGGCTCCGCGGCTGCATCCCCGCGCTGCTCGCGGCAGTCCGCGGCCACCTCCGAAGTCCGCGCAACCCGCAGCTGGCTGTCTCCCGGCGCCACATTTTCGCTCAGACCAGGGAGACCCTCGGCGAGCTCCTGGTGCAGCTGGAGCCTGGAGCCTCAGCCCAGGCGGCGGCGGGTGCAAGGAACGGAGCGCTCGCCTGGAGCCTGCGGCAGCTCCGTGAGCTACTGGCCACGCCAGAGCCTGTGGGTGTGCTGGGAGGCGCGCTGGACGTATTGCTGGCGCCCATAGTTTGGCACTGCATGCGCTTGGCCGCCTGGTCCGCTCCGCCAGAGAGGCTGCGATTGGTGGCCAGCTGCCACCAGGTGCTGGAGCTGCGGAACGCCCGCGTCAGGTCCGTGGGTCGGATCACCGGGCCTCTCTGGACTGACCCGAGGAGCCTGGAGTCAGGGGAGGAGCGCGCAGCTCTGCAGTCTGCAACTGAGGTGCTCTCCCAGGGGGTGAGCAATGGGCTGTTACGCCAGATCCTAGACACCTTCACGGATACTCAAAGCCCTCTTCAAAGGCTTGTCCAGGCTGCCTTGGTGACTCCCCCAGTCACCTCCTCGTGCAACCGCAAGGTCTTGTCAAAGAGCCTCCAGCTTTTCCTTGCTGCGTTCCATGACCAGGCCAAGCAGATGCTGCGTGTGGCTCACTTGGTCTTGGTTTGCTGCCCTCAGCAACAAACTGGCAAAGACATGGAGGTCACCATGGCCAGCCTTTGGGGGCTTGTGGTCAGAGTACAACGGCTTTTCTCACAAAGTCCCCAAGAGTTTAGTGTGGACTGGAGTCCTGCTACTCTGCAGGCCCTGCTCCAGGCCTGGGCCAGGGTCTCTGAAAGCCTATTAGCAAGTTTTGACGATGTTCTCAATATTCCTGAGTTTCTGAGTCTGTCCGTTCAGGAAATGACTAAGCACTTGGAGGTTTTTGCACGGACTTTGGGAAGTAGAGATGTCAGAGAGCTTTCCACACATGTAGTGTATCTACAGGGCCGAGCTGCACACATAGTGCAGGTAATGAACAGGTACGTAGGCCAGCACCGAGATCCCATTTTCCGAAACGGCCTAAGAGTCTTGATCCAGCAGCTGGAGCGGTCTTCCCTTGTCCTGGGTGCAGTCGCTGAGTCCTCTTCAGGTGGTCACAACTCTCAGGACACGGATGCATTTTTAACTGTGGCAAAACAGCTGGTCTATTCAGCTCAGAGCATCCAAGAGGGACTGGATGGGACTAACCACCCAGATATCCTCAGTCCCCTTCGGGACCTAGTCCAAAGATTTGATATTGCTACAGGAAAGCCTTATTTTTTCCTCTCCAGCCTGCAGGATTCCACAATTCATGAATTAAAACATCAGAGGGGGACTGCACTGGGGAAACATCACCCAGAAACTTCATATCCACCAAGGGAGTATGTCTTCTGCCCCTTGACTTCTGACACTCAGCCACAGACGAGAGATTCTCCCGTTCCTGGCAGGAGCAAATTCATCCTTGCTTTAGAGAGCTACTGCCAGCAGGCAGTGACCACAACTTGCCCTGACCTGCGGAAGCAAGATGCAGCTCTAGATACGGCTCAAGAGGTCTTGGCTGCAAAAGGAGCCCTAGCTTCAGAGAGGGTGACTAAACTCCAAGCTCTCCCAAGGCCAGCAACTTCTACTATTGATGTAGGACTAGAGATAGTACATTGCACAACAACTCAAACTGATAGCCTTCGGGAAGTGGCTCTCCAGCTGCCTGGGACAACCAGGGAAACCAGGCAGTCTTTGGTAGCTGTAGCTGGTGACTGGTACCCTCTGTGTCAACAACTATTTTGGCAAAGTCCAGACAGTGGTCTTCCAGGGAACAAAACAGTTTTCATGGAGCTTCAGCAGAATTTAGTCTCATTAGTTCAACTAGCAACCAAAACTGGGCCCACAGATTTGAGTAAGGATGACCCTGACTCTACTGAAGACCCAGAAGTACTTTTACAAATGCAAAACCTATTAAAGGAGGCAGAGATCCATGCTAAACAACTGATGGACAAGGCTCTGGCCTTTGATGACCTCCATGCCCCTAAGTTGTGGGATGATAGCTTTGAGGACAGGTGCCTTCTATGGTCAGTGGCTGTCCAAGACCTGCTTCAGTGCCTGGGGAGGCTCAGTAGGAGACAAGGCCTGTTCCTACTGCCCCTGCGACAGGCCATAAAGAACCAGCAGGGGATGCAGGAAGGGTTGGCTCAGGCAGCGGATGTTTCTCAGAGGCTACAAGAGGCTGCCAGGCTGTCTAGCTTACTGTGTGGAGATAAGCAGGTGAAGGGTGCGGTGTCCTTTCTGTGCAAGGAGGTTCATGTACTCACAGAGGCTCTGCTGGATGTGGCGCAGATCCTGGCCTCTTCCCCTACACCGTCTCCCAGCCTGTCTACCCGCTTTGAACTTCTCAGCTTGGAACTCACCCTTCGAGTCAAGGCCCTGACTGGCTACATCAGCAGCATCAATGCAGACTATGCACATGCCCTCCAAGATGCTCTCCGCCCAAGTCTCTCTCTCTGCAAAGATGCACAGACTGGGCAGGAAAATTCCCTGGAAAAAATGGTATCTGGTATTCAAGCTGTGCAGGGAATCGTGGCAGGAGGTCAGGCGTCTGGGGCCGGCCAGGAAGACATTCTTGTGGCCCTGGAAAGCATCCTCAGGCTCACCCAGGAGGTGGCCCAAAGGCTCCCTGTGCTTCAGCAACATCCAGAGGCATGGAGAATGCACGTTCTTCAGTGGGAGTGGGCAGCCAAGGCTCACTATGCTGTAGCCCAGCTCCAGGCCTGGAATGGTGGGCACACTAAGGCGTGGAGACACCTGGTCCAGTGCTTGAAGCCCAGTGATGAGCTGACGGCAGCGTCTTTAGTACACAGCCATCCCCAGGCCCAGGTCCAACATGGGGCCTATATATCAGGAGCCGGAGGGGCAAGTAGTGCGCATTCTTGGGTTGTGACCCCAACAGGTGCCCCAGGATGCTCAGTGGGGAACTACTCAGCCGATCCAGTCATCACCAAGACAAATGCAGCAGACCTGGACACGGTAGGATTGTCAGCATCTTTCTCCCTTCCCCACTTCTGTTCTCTTGCTAATAATAAAAGCCTCTGGAAGATTCTAATTTAGATAATAGGAACATTGATAACTTTCCTGGTACAGGGTTAACGAAAGCATCTGTATTCTCTGTTGTCTGGCACCAGTAGTGGCTACAATTACTGATGTTTGTGAAGTTTTTCCCAGTTGCCCCAATCAGAAGTGGCCCTTCTTGCTGTGACTGAAGCACTCCTGTGTATCAGTCTGCTTCATGACGCTTTGACTTCTGCCAAGTTATCTCCCTGCCCCAGGGATGTTTTTTTTGTTTGCAGGTGGCAGAAACCCACTTTGAATATGCTCGGCTAAAAGGAAGGATTTATGAGGATGCTGGGGCTGTTGGGCACCTTTCACACATGGTTGTTTCTTTCTAGGGCGTGCGACAGGACAATCAGGCATGTGGGTGCCAAGCACTGGGTTTACTAACACCTTCTGTGCCCAGCTGTGCCCCCAGTCAGTGGCAGATGCAGCTGTTTGGCAGTGCCTGAGAAGTTCCCAGCAGGCTGCTCAGACCAAGGTTTTATGCACAGCCTGGCCTGACCCCTTGCTGACCTTCACAGACCCTCCAAACCCTTCCTTACTGAGGCTTCTCCCAACATAAAGCTGAGTAGACCACATGCTTCCCCACTCCATGGCTCTTTACTTCACTTTTCATTTTAAAATGTCATCAGCATGAGAAAGGGCCGTTTCTACAGCAGCAGGGAGGAGAGCAGGCAAAGATCTGTCTTCCTGCAGCTTAAGGTCTCTGTCTTCCGCTCACCTCCTCCACAGCTCCAAGGCTGTATGTTGTCTATAGGGTTTCCTCACACGTGCCGAATGCCGTTGACGTCACTGATTTCACATCTTCTGTCTCTGTCACTTCATCTGATACATTCCTTTTCTCATCCATACCTCCTCTCGGGGGATTTCACACACTGCTGGCAGGGCAGGGTGAGGCTGGCTGCCCAGGAATGGGGCAAACAGCAAGTATGTTCAGCTCCTCTCACCCCTCCTTTTGGTGAAGAGGTGTCTGTCATCTCTTGGCCAGCTGATTTCCTTGGGGCAAAGAGGTTTTTTGCTCAGGGAAGCACTACCCTTCTACATACAGTTCCACTTGAAAAATCATCCAGTGTGAGGGAGTTCAGAGCAGGGAGAAATACCACCCCTGGTGAACATTTGCTCTGCTCTCCCTTCCCTGGGCTCTGAGCACACTTCCAGTCAGAAAAGCGCCCCCCACAGTGAGCACCTGCCAGAATCAATAGAGAGAAGACATGGACTGGGGCAGGGGCTTGCTTTGGGGCATTGATAAGTCATAGCAGGAAATTCTTTATTCCAGTTATGGGGATCACCCATAACTGATTGAAGAGCCTGGAGGTGCTTCCGGCACAGGATGCCTAGGGTCCCTGACAACTGAATCTAAGACCTGAGTTGTAATGAATATTCCCCAGTTTCCTACTTCTCACCTTTGGTGGTTCAAGGACTCACCTATGTCTATCTATTCCTTGTTTTTTTTGGTCAGTGTAGCTGAATCTCAGTCTCAACTGAGCTCTCCACCCTCTTCTCACCCACTCAAGGATGCCCCTCTGGGTAGCCTGTTGGCACCCAGCATGCCACTTGAGTGTAATTTGTCCCTCTCCAGAAAAGGCTTAACTCACCCTACTTAGCATCCAGGAGACATTCCCAGCTGTTTAGAACAAGACTAATGCATGTGTTTTTTCAGAAGGTGGGATATTATTTAGTTGAAGAAGCCAGCACAAAATGGTGGGAAATTCAGATGTCTTCCTGACTAGTGTAGAAAAGTTAACCAGTTGGTTTTGAAGGCTCAGGAGCTCCAATTTACTTGTCTGCAACTCCTCCAGGCCAACCACAGGGTCTGGTGCTTCACACTCACGAGTGATTCTGGACGTTCCAGACAAACTCAAGTGCAGCAGAAATCAAATTTCAGGCCAAAGGCTGTCGGAGGGATGGAAAAGTCTTCAGCTGAACTTCAAAAGAAGCCTGGAATTTGTATTTGTCTGTAAGGATGTGAAGGACTTTCCAGGCAGTAAAAGATCTGAGGTGGGCTTGACCCAGAGTATTAAGACTATGAGTATTAAGATTTGCTCCTGACATGGAAACGAATACTTTAAAATCGGAGAGGAAAGTAATCTGCATTTTTAGCCCTGCACCCCTCCAGCCACCTACCTGGCTGGTTGCTGTTTTCAACATCTGGACACATCCGAGCCAAACCTGAGTGAGTGGGACTCTTACCATATGGTTCTCACACGCTTGGCTTGAACCTTGTGACCAGATCTAAGTTACATTTGAGGAGAGATGAGACCTTTTTATCCTGGACAACTTCTATTGACGGCTGTGTCAAGCTATGCCAGGCCAACACTGACGCCCCCATACCCCATCACTGTTTTTCTCTTTGGCAGCCATACCTGGCTAACAAGGGAGGTTAGATTCTGAGAATTTGAGTCCTTGTGAGCAGTGAGTAATGGGGCTTCTCAGAGGTAATGGCTTGGTGAGCTGGCTTCTGGCCACTCACATTTCCAGTGCCCAAAGCTGTTTGATTTACCTGCTTATTTTTGGTTTCAGTAGTAACTAAGTTAATTATTCATTCCAGATGGCAAAACCCTTTCATGTGGAATAATTGATGAGAAAATACATCAGTGTCGGAAAGTGTGGGAACACTCAAGTATTCCTGAATGTCTTCAAAACAGTATAGATTCTCCTTCTCCCAGGGAAGATCTGAACATTGACAGATGGACAGAAACAGATGTTTTACCTCTACTAGGTTCTGAGTATGCCAGCTTTTAGCAAATTCTGTAAGATGGAGCATGGTGCCAGGGACTCAGTGGTTCCTGTTCTCACTGAGGTCTTGGACAAGATTGCCAAGAGCTGCTGGCACATGGGGAAGCAGGAAACACTCTGCTCCCCATTCTTCTTCTAAAATGAGAACAGCCCATGGCCACCACTGCTGTAGAGTAAAGGGTGAGCATCAGGAGACTCACTGTTTGTACTCTGTCTTAGCAGCAGCACTGTGTCCTTCCCAGCTCCCTCGGCTCTGTGGCCTGGCTGCACACCAAGCTGGACCAGCCTCTCCCAGAGGGTGACAGTGTGGACGGTGGGAACAGAATCGCCCAAATTACCCAGGAGATGGCCAAGGAGGTGCTCCTGATGGCTCAGAGTTTGAGGAGAAGAGGACGCATCCTGGTACTTGACCTTCATTGGGCCTTGGAGGCGGGAGGACTGGATACCTTGTGGGGTGATGGGGCTGTGGCCATCTAGGGGCTCCCAGGAAGGGAGGGCCATGCCGAGGGCCTTCCACACTTAGCATTTTCCCAATGTTACCTTCTTTTTCTATCTGAAAAAATCACAACATTCATCTTACTTCTCTCTACCCCTTCCCTTTGCACTCAAAGTTTTGACTTATTCTACCAGAGAAGATAATTTGCCAGAAGCTGAAATTTAGTGAAAACAAGGATTCATTTATATGAATGAAGGAAATATTTTAAAGATGAAGGGACTGTTTTTATCTTTAAAAGTTCCCCCAAGGCCCTTCCTGGTGGCGCAGCGGGTTAAAGCACAGCACTGAGAATCTAAAGCCGCTTCCGCATGAGGTCGATTCCCGCCTGCCCCGAAGG